GTAGGGGTCCGTGTAGCCGGTGACGGCGCGCTCGGCCGACAGCAGCTTCTCCCGGATCTCGCCGCCCACCACGCCCGCGGCCACCGCCTCCTCCACGGACAGCCTCCGGTTGCGCACGGGGTCGATGACGAAGCCGGTGGCCGCCTGCGCCTCCAGCAGCACCAGGGCCGTGCCGGGCCGCAGGACGCCCTTCCACATGGCCTGGTAGATGCTCATCTTCTCCTTTGTGCCCTGGATGAGGACCCCAGCAATGAAGTTGCCTCCCTCCAGGTACCACCTGATGCTGCTCCTCTCCATCACCTCCTGCACTGTCCTTCTGCCCTGATTCAGCAGGTCCAGCGTCTCCTTGTCAATCAGCCGGGACCTAAACAAGTCACTGGCCGACACTAGCTTCCGGAGTCCTCTAAAGGTGGCCTGCGAGGGCTGTCTCTCTGAGGTCTCAACCAGGGCGGTGATGGCCACAGCCACGTGCCGCAGGGCGGTGGCCCTCCCGGACTGGCAGAGCTCCACCAGCTCCCGCCGTTTGTGGATGTCGACGTACTCTGAGTGGAGCAGGTCCCACAGTGACACGTTGAGACCTTTGAACCTCCCAGTGCCAACAGGCACCTTCATGGCCCTCAGGGCCACCAGCATATGCTCGTCCACCTTAAGCACCCTGTCCTGGGCAAGTGGAAGCAGCCACAGGCCGGTGTCAGTGTCCAGGACACAGCGCTCCTTGAGCTGGTTGTACGTCACCCTTTCCTGTGCGCTGGGGTCGAAGAAGAACTTACTGTCCTCGGCCATTGAGGTTAGCACCCGGCTGACCTGCTCGTCCAGGAGGCCAAGCCTGCAGGCTGCCGCCTCGGGCAGGTGCACCCCGTGGACAGGGTCCACTGCGCCCCCTGTGGCCAATTGCACCTGTAGGAGGGGGAGGCCCTCACTGTGGGGCACCAGCCCCTTCTCCATGGCCTGCCACAGTGAGAGGGCGCCTCCTAAATAGGGGTCAGTGTACCAGGTCACGGCCCTCTCGGCTTGCCGGAGCTGCTCATGCAGTGCCCCAGCCACCAGGCCGGCCTTGACTGCGCCTTCCACAGATAGCCTCAGGTTGGTCAGAGGGTCAATGAGGGAGCCAGACGCCACTTGTGCCTCCAGCAGCCTTCGCCCCAGGCCCTCAGGCAAGAGGCCGTCCCTCATGGCCTGGCTGATGCTGACCTTGGCCCCCGACGGCTGCAACACCACGCCGGCCACGCAGCCCGTACCCCACAGGCAGGCCTTCACGGCGGGCTGCTCAGCCACCTCGGCAGGTGACTGTGTGCCCTGAGCCAGCGCCGCCAGGGTCTCCTGGGTGATGATGCCAGCGTCCAGCAGCCAGACGGCAGGAACCTCCCCCCTTGGGCCGGGCACCGTGACACAAGCCTGAGCCAGGAGCTCTGCCTCACGCACCTGCTTCTGCACCGTTTCCTGAAGCTGCTGCGCGGTAGTCTGCCCTGCCCTGAAGTCCTCCAAGAGGCTCTTCCGCTGCTCGTCAGTGAAGCGGCAAGAGCTCAGGAGCTCCCAGAGGGACGTGCCGTCCTCAGCCCCCGGCATGGCCTGCAGGGTCTCCTGGACCTGCTCGTCAGTGGGGACGGCAGCAGCATTTTCTGGCACGGGCAGGAAGTAGAGCCCAGAGGCCTCGTCCCTCACACACTGGTCCAGGAGCTGGGCATAGCTGGTGTGTCCCCGGCCATCTAGCGTGGGGAAGGTCTTGGAGGAGCTGGACAAGGCGATCGCCATCTCCTGGTCGAGGTAGCCACGCTGGGTGGCCACGGGCATGGGGAGGCGATGGTGGCCTATGGGGTCAATGACCCCTCCTGTGGCCACCTGGGCATCCAGGAGGCGGGCAGCCTGCTCTGCAGGGACAAGGCCCTTCTTCATGGCCTGGAACAGGGACACCCGCTCCCCAGAGAAGGGGTCTCTGAAGCCGCTGACAGCGTCCTCCGCCTGCCTCAGCCTGCCGTACAGCTCTGGGCCCACCAGCCTCCTGCGCACGGCCTCATCCACGGACAGCGTCTCCAGACCGTGGGGGTCAATAATGGCTGCGGTGGCCGCCTGAGCCTCCAGCAGGGCTAGCGCCATGCCCGGCCCCAGCAGCTTCTGCTTCATGGCCTCGTAGAGGCTGAGCCGCCGGCTGGAGGACTGCAGCAGCACGCCGCCCACGGCACCCGAGCCACGCAGGGCCCGCTGGACACTGTCCACGTGCAGGAGGGCTTCGGGGCTCACTGCCCCCTCCAGCACCCGGTCCAGCAGCTCTTGGTCAACGATTTGGGCCTCCCAGAGCTGGTGGGCTGTGACTCGGCCCCGGAGCATGGGCAGCGTGATGTCCACCCACCTCCCCACTGCTCTCCCCAGCAGCTGGACCACCTGCGCCAGTGACACCCTGTGCTGTCGGTAGTCCCGCAGCACCTGCCTCCGCTGGTCCTCGCTGAAGCACTCTGAGTTGACCAGCTCCCACGCGGAAACCCTCTGTCCCCGGAACCGCCCATACCTCACAGGCAGCAGCAGGCTCTGGAAGGCCTGTCGGGTGGCGCCATCCACCAGCTCGGGCTGTGAGCGGCCGAGGGGCAGCAGGCGCAGCCCCGTCTCGGGGTCCTGCACACAGCGCTCCAGCAGCTGCAGGTACGTGAGGTTCTCGTGCGTGTTGGGGTCGAAGAAGCCCTTGGTGTCGTCGCTCGGGTCCGCCAGGACGCGGCTCATCTCCTCGTCGAAGTAGCCACGCCGGTAGGCCACGTCCACGGGCAGCCGGTGGCTGTGCACGGGGTCGATGATGCCGCCCGTGGCGATCTGGGCCTCCAGCAGGCGGATGCCGTGGTCGCGGACGACGAGGCCCTTCTTCATGGCCTGGAAGAGGGAGATCTGCTCCCCGGTGTAGGGGTCCGTGTAGCCGGTGACGGCGCGCTCGGCCGACAGCAGCTTTGCAAACACATCAGGCCCGATGAGGCCGGCCCTCAGTGCCTCCTCTACAGAGTATGTCCTGTTTTCCTTCGGGTTAAGGATGAAGCCCGTGGCCACCTGTGCCTCCAGGAGGATGAGTGCCATGCCGGGCCTGAGAAGCCCCTTCCCGCGAGCCTCGTAGATGCCGAGCCGCTCCCGGGAGCTGGTCAGCAGCATGCCCGCAACGCAGCCAGTGCCCTGCAGGTACCTCTGGACCGAGTCCAGCCTGCCCACGTCCCGGGCTGTGGTCTGTCCCCGCTTCAGCTGCTCGTGCACGTCCTGGTCGATGATCTCTGCCTTCAACAGCTCATCTGGCGTCACGGGCCCCCTGAGCCCAGCAAAGGTGGTCCGGGCCGTGGCTGCAGCCTGCTCCAGGGTGGCCCTCAGCACCGCCGCCAGCTCCTCCAACGAGATGGCGCCTTCCTGGTGCCGCTGGGCCAGTGCCGCCCTCTGCTCTGCGGAGATGGGCTCGGAGAAGAGCAGCTCCCAGAGTGAGGCGGGCCGGCCCTGGAACTTGCCCACGGAGATGGTGGCCGTGGCCTCACTCAAGGCCTGCCGGGTGCTGTGGCCAATGAATGGGGGTCCTTGTGGCTCCCCTCCGAGGGTCCCGCCTGAGAGAGGAAGGAAGGCCAGCCCTGTCTCTGGGTCAGTGACACAGCGGGCCATCAGCTGCCCATAGCCAAGGCTCCCCTGTGTGCCGGGGTCTGAGAAGCCAGTGGCCCGGGAGACACACTGCCACGTCTCTTCGTCCAGGCATCCGAGGCGCAGGGCGGCCTCCAGGGGCAGCCGGAGCCTGCGGGCTGGACACACTGGCCCACCTGTGGCCAGCTGGGCATCCAGGAGTCGCAGCGCCAGAGGCCTGTCCACCAGCTCCTTCTTCATGGCCTGGAAGAGGGAGACTCGCCCTCTGCTGAAGGGGTCATCGTACCCCGTCACCGCCTGCTCGGCCACCAGCAGCTGCCTGTGGAGCTCCGGGCCGAGCAGGCCTGACCTGACGGCCTCATCCACGCTTCGGCGCCGGCCGGTGGCTGGATCCACCAGCGTGCAGGTGGCAGCCTGAGCCTCCAGGAGCGGGAGTGCCGTGCCCATCGGGAGCAGGTGCTCAGTGATGGCCTGGAAGAAGCTCTTCTTGTGGCCCGCGGGCAGCAGGACAACCCCCGCCACGCCGCCCGTGCCCTGCAGGTAGCGCTTGACCGAGTCCATCTCCGTCACCTCCTCCTGCCGCCCGGGCTCGTCCTTGGCGGGCACCAGCACGCCCGCGATGCAGCCCGTGCCCTGCAGGTAGCGCTTCACGGCAGCCCGTGTGCTCACCTCTGACGCCACCAGCTTGCCCTCCTGAAGGCCCTGGGCAGTCTCCCCATCCAGGACCCCCACCTCCAGCAGCTCTGCCAAGCTCACTGCCCCACTCAGGGTCTGGAAAGTGGTCTTGAGGGGCAGCAGAGCCAGCCCTGTTCTGGGGGCTCTCACGCACCTGCCCAGCAGCCCGCGGTAGGACAGCCACTCGCCTGTGTTGGGGTCCAGGAAGCCAGGGGCACCGGAGCTGGGCTCGCCCTCTGCCAGGCCACGCCACGTCTCCTGGTCCAGGAGGCCCTGCTGGCAGGCCAGCTCTGGGGCCACTCGCACACCCTGAATGGGATCCACCAGGCCCCCAGTGGCCAGCTGGGCCTCTAGCCAGCTGTACCCCCGTGCTCTCTCCAGCACCTCCTTCCGGATGGCCTGGAAGAGTGCCAGCTTCCCGCCACCGTAGGGATCGGGGTACCCAGTGACGGCCCGCTCAGCAACCAGGAGCCTCTCCTTTAGCTCCAGGCCTACCAGGCCCTGCCGCACGGCCTCAGACACAGACAGGAAGTGGCCCTGCGTGGGGTCCACAAGGCCCCCGGTGGCGGCCTGGGCCTCCAGCAGAGCCAGCCCAAGCTCACCAGACAGGAGGCCCTGCTTCATGGCCGTGTAGAGACTCTGAGCCTGGCAGGAGGCTTCCACATATACCCCAGCGATGCTCTTGGACTGGGGCCCGGAGGGGGTGCTGGCTCCCAGCATGGCCTTCACGGTCTTGGGGACGGTGGTCAGCTCAGTGCCGTTGGTGGCCAGGACATCAAGAGGAGGAGAGGTGTGGCCATTCATCATGCTTGGCCAGTTGTGTAGAATTCACTCCCCCAAGGCCCACTGTGTTTGCTCCCTGCGGGGGGAGAAAGGCTGTTAGGGGCCCTGGGATGGCCCAGGCAGGCAGGAGGGGAACAGTCAGGGGTCAGCCCCAAGCCCGGAATCAGCCTGGGGGATGGGGATCAGCATCCAAGTGAGGTCCTTTGCCTTGCCCTGTGGGGTCCCAGGAGGGACCACGAGGGACCTCAGGCCAACAGGGTAGCCTCCAGGATGTGTGGGCTCTGTTTTCTCCTGTGGGCCACCCTCTGGCCCCCATCCCAGCCCCACACCCTCAGGGTCCTGGTGTGGGCTGGGCCTGGAGGGGCCTGCACGCTCCAGGTGGGGGCAGCCCCGCGCCACCCAGCCTGTGGCCCCACCCACCCTCATCCCCTGCCTCTAATTTACACCTTCCAGCCTCACAGGCCTCCCCTCTGCTCCCCAGAGCTCTTTCCTTGTCCTGCCACCCCCTGGGTTCAGGAACACCAGTACCCTTCCCCCTTCCAGTCACCTCCTCCAACCCCCCACCCCACCCTGGAGCCTTTGCTCTGGCCTCTGTTCCTTCCCAGACCCCCAGTGGGCTCCAGGCAGGAACCCCCCCCAGAGTCTCCTGCCTCGGTCTGACTCGGTGTCCTCCCTGCCCCCACTCCCCAACCCCTTTGCTCTCTGGGTCATGTCTTCTCTGTGCCCACACCTGGCCTCGGAGGCCGAAGAGAGCAAAGACTCAGTGCTTATGAGCTGGTCTTGCAGGAGCCGTGGGGAAGGCCAGGCACTGGGCTCTGGTCAGCTGGCTCAGAGTCCCAGCAGCCCCATAGCTGTCCCCTCTCAGCAGACAGCCGTGTGCCCCAATTCTCTGAGCTGCGGTCCTAAGTATCCCACCTCCCATCCCCTATCACACCTGCACACTAACCTCCTTCACCCACACCCATCCCCTTCCGGTGGGGTTCAATCATGTCCCCCCAGAAGAGATGTCTGAGTCCTAACTTCCAGGACCTATGACCCTGGAAATAGGGTCTTTGCATCTGTAACTCAGCTGCGGTCACAGAGCAGGGAGGGCCCTAATCCCTGACACGACTGGTGTCTCTACGGGAAGACAGAGGCGGAGGGGTGCCCCGTGCAGGACCACTTCCCCACGCAGAAGCAGACCCTGGACTCTGGCCCCATGAACTGTGAGAGGAGTTTGTTGTGCTAAGCCGCCCAGGTTATGGTAATGTTGCGACAGCTCAGAGAGCTATGGCCTCCCTCTCTCCTCCGCCCCGTGAGCCGGCCCACACCCAGTTTCCGCAGAACCACACTTCATTCCCTGCTGGCGCTGGCCCTCAGCTCGGAAGCCCGACCACGCCTGCCCTGGCCTCCTGACCAGCCCTCGGCCCGTATCGCACGCAGGCCTTGGGACAAGGCTCAGGCGCATGCGCATCCCCACTCCATGGCTCTGGCTAAGGTGACCTTGGACTCTGGCTGCCAAACTCAACAAACGCATTTTGGATCTGACTACCCCGCCTCTGGGTCATGGCTGCACGGCCTTCTCGCTGGTGACTTACCCATGAAACCAGGGAGCCCCTCACACTGCCCTCAGTCCCCCAAATCTGCATCAGAAGCCCAGCCTGCCCTGGGGTCCCGGAACCACGTGCCTGGCTGCCTCCTGAGGAGCCTCAGACTCCGCGGCACCCCCACAACTGCTCGTGCTCAGGTTCTGTCTCAAGCACTCTGTCCAGCCGGAGTCCTGAATCCCTCACACCTTCTCTTGCCCCTGCTGGCCCCACCAGGGGTCCTCGTCATGCCCGCCCACCTCACGTCGGTGCCTATGGCCTCCAAGCACCCCTCAGCCTCACAGCTTGCAAGGACCTATGGTGTCGCTCGAGACCACCTTCCCTGTTCCTGCCCTCTCCACCGCCTCCAGCCCTGAAGCAGGGTGGGGGCAGCAAGTGATCGAGGGGGTGGGCAGCTGAGACCTCCATGGGAAGGCCTCAGTGGCCAGGGCTGTGCGGGGGGCAGCATGGCCCAGCAGACACACAGATCTGGTAGGGTGGACGCTTCCAGGTGCTGCCCAGACCCCACCCGGGACTTAAGGAGGGCTGCGGGCAGATGGCCCCCACTTCTGTCCCCTCGGGAACTGCCTTGCCCTTCCTAGGGCTGCACTGGTTCAGTCCCTCGACTTGGCTTGGGACCCTCCTGCAAACCCCTGGGGTGGGTGAAATCCTGTCCCCTTCCCTTCCCATACACAGATGTGGGGCCTGAGCCTCTGGACCCCAGGAGCTATGTGCTGCTCAGAAGCTCAGACAGGCGGTGCCAGGACCAGGCAGAAACTGAGTGAGGCTTTGGAGGGTAGCTGCCACCTGGCTGGCCACGGGTGCTGGGCTCCAGGAAGGGCCTCGACCCACCAGCTTTCCCACTTAAGTGAGCATAGCATCAGGCATTTGAGAAGGGGGCTCGTACGGAGCACACAGTGGAATTGGGGGTGTGTTGCTAAGCAACCAAGCTTCAGAAGACAATCACAATCGGCTGTGAGGGACCAGCTGGGCATCTAAAGCCCATGTGGGCACCTGGGGCTTCGAAGTGGCCAGTGAAGAGGCTCTGGTCTCTGCAGGGCAGGCTGGGGCAGCGCCGTCGTGAGAGGGGCACTGCGGGCAAGCTGCAGCACCAGCTCCCAGGTGGCCCCATCCCCCGGGAGGGGGTGTACTACCTAAAATGTGACGCACCTGTCCCCCGTAGATGGACCACATGGGTCCAGGAGCCAAGCGATGGAAGCAGATGTGGCCCCCCACCATCCCTCCAATGACCCCACTCCCCGTCCCTGCGGCTCCGGGGTCAGTTCCAGAGGATGACGGCTTCTGTCAGGGACAGTCCCACTGCACTGAGGGCCATGGCTCCTTGTGTCCCGGACCAAGAGGCCAGAAGAGGAGTGACCTGATCGCCAGGAGGACGTGGGGTCTGTGCCGGGGTGAGGACGGCGGGTGGGCCCCAGAGGCCCACACCTGGTTCTAGTGGCCAACGCACAGTGTTGTCACCTGAGGGGGGCACCAAACCCAGCACACATGCAGTGGGGACGGCCCGGGGAATGAGGGGCAGAGCAGAGAAAGGAGGCCCTTGTCCTGCGGCTTCCCCAGGACGAGAAGCCCATTGGTGCCCTGGGTGCCGGTGGTGGGTGCGAGGCCACCCTGACCTCCTCCCGGTGGTGAGGCTGCATTACAGGCCAGCTGGCTCCTGTCCTCCCCCCACCGCCCCAGCTTCCTTCCGCAGGGGCCGTCCTGAGCCCACTCCTAACACTCCTGCTGTCAGATTCTGCTTCTGGGACCCGACCTGGACGCAAGCTTTGCTGCCCAGCAGCACCGATGACTGGCACGTTTGTAAAGTGTGCCTTGTTCCAGGATGGCCTTCAGAGGGCCTATGAGCCCAGGGGAGCCCCGCGCGGCCCGCACCCAGCCCTGCCCCAGTCCCAGCAGGAGCTCCAGGTAACAGGGCTGTGGGGTAGTGAGAACAGTGCGCCTTCCCTTGGCAGGGGACAAGGGTGGGGAGAGAAGAGAGGCACCTCACTACCCAGCAGAGGGACGGAAGGGTGTTCTGGGCCACGGCGGGGGCAGGAGCAGCCAAGTGAGCAGGGCCGTGGGTGGCCCTTGGCCTGGACATGGGCAGCCAGCCCGGAGCCAGACAGGCTGTGCTGGG